TATATATATATATATATATATAATTATTGATTTCTCTCTCTAGTAGTTCTCTTTCTCCTTATCAATCACCTTCCCTCTCCTCCTCACTTCTCAACCCTAGTGCAAGTGTCTATCCTCATCCATATTTGAAAGAGTGAAGATAAAGCTTCCGAAAGTTTTTCACCGAATCATCCTCCGAATATTTAAAAATTAATATTTAAAATAAATTTATAATAAAATAATTATTTAATTTAATATTTTATAATTTAAATTATTATTTTAATCATTTGATACGTATTTCGGAATGTAATTCGGAGATTGTACCATTTTTCTATTTGAAATTGTCTACACTTCCCTTCCCTTCCATGCACTGCCTCATTTCCGATGTGAACCACTTCTTCAACTCTACACTTCCTCCTCCGATCCTCATCCCCCCTTCGCCCACACACAAAATCAACAAGAATTTGTCTTTTATAAAATGAAAGGTGTATTTTGAAGAATGATATACTAATTTATATCAACATAAAAATGTAAATTTCTTGGTCAACTAAGATAAAGGTGAATTTGTTTAAGATAATTTTTTTTAATTATACATTATTTTACTTAATTTACATGTTTTAACTTCTATTATTTCTATTTTTTATTTCTATTATTTTTGAATGAATATAGAAACATAAAAATGTTTCAACTTCACTAGTTCTAATAAACACGTTGTACCTATACTAGGTACCGATGGGTCTTCCTTGAAGTCTTGGATCGATATTTTTTTCTTCACTCTCCGAGTCAAGGTCCCTTAACCATCGAATGCGATACTTGTAAAAATATTCTAATGTTGAAGTAAGATACTTGGAATATTAAATGTTAATAATAAATGAATAATAATATGTTACCTTGAATTGCATTATTATTTATACTTGTACCTGTCTGAGGCACACTCGTAGTCTTCTGGGGTGTAGGAGGGCCGAACGGGAGCTTCAGGTGGATTCTTCAGAGGGGGGAGGTACCTGCAAAAGGCACTCCGACGCTCAAGTCAGGACAAGCACGATCTTCTAGGGTAATAAATGAACAGTGACATACCTCGTTACGTGTGACCTATTTATAATACCTAACATGGACCTGAGCATGGTGGGCCTTCTGTAGCACTTACCAAATTAGGTAATATGATGCTAATCGGCAGGTTATACCTTCATTATGCTTTGTCCCTTGTTAATCATAATCGTCATCTAATTATTCAATGCTGACTTTTGGCCGAGCCGAGACAAAACGGCCGAAACGTCCTCTCGAGCCGATAGGGGAAGAGCACAGTTCTTAGTTCCCTGTCGAGCCGAAGTGGTATTTGAGCAGTGTCATCTGATAGTACATGACGTGCCGGTCCACGTGGCCGATCCACGTGGCCGAGCCGAAATGATATCTGAGCTGCGTCAATATCTGATAGAACATGACGTACCGGTCCACGTGGCCGATCCACGTGGCCGATAGGGTCCTTCCGGTACAATACTAATCATAATACATCATTGATCGACGGACTTGAGGTCTCAATTTCCTTAACATATAGTACAATTTAGCATATGATCAAGTTCTCTAATCATGACTTAGATGGAACATCATCTCGATTCGTTTTAATTGTGTGGTTCGGCCTTTGGCTTAATTTATTGAGGACCATTCGGCCATCAAGATGTCGAAAGGTCTTTCAGAAGAGAGGGTGACTAATGAAAATGTGATACGGTCTTAGTCAAAAGAAGATTCCAAGAGGGTCACTCAAACATTTTTGTCTTTATGTTGAAACTTGTTGTGTGAGTGAGAACGCGTGATTCTCAACCTTTCCGAGTTCATTATCAGCAGTGCTTTCATCACTTGACCTAATTCGATGTCTGGACATCCGAATATTCATCCGGTATACACAAAAATAATTAATATAGAGACTACAATCAATAATTCTAAATATTAGAATGATGAAAAAAAAATATAGGGAAATTTTTCTATAATAAAAACTAAAAAACAAGGCTGATTTTTTTTTAATAATACCGTGGAGTTCTTGTACATTCCTATGAACACAATGGAGTAGTGTGCTATTCCTATCCTATCCTGTGTCCATCGTCACCTGAGCAAAATGTACATTGCAATGTAACGACCACCACCGCCCAATCATTCAACCGAAAACCAAAATCCAAATACATCCCACAAATAAGGAAAGAAAGGGGAAAAAAAAGAGAGTTAACGGTAACGGTAACGGTAACGGAAAGGATGAGAAGCAGGTTCCATTCCATTTACTTCTTACGAAACGCAACCTCGGTGTCCAAGCCAAAACCATCGACGGGGCGAACGTGAACCAAAACGGAGTTCTTAAAAAGCGCGACGAGGGGCTTAACGGTGTAGAGGTCGTTAGCGGAGTACTTATCAGCGCGCGTGGACAAGGCCACGTGCAACACGCAGACGCCGTTGGGCTTCAACGTGCGTTCGATCTCGCCCACGAAGCGTTCAGGGTAGAGCGCGTGGTCGAACACGTTCGAGAATTCGAAGTCGAACGTGCCGCCACGGAACGGTTGGTTGTGGAAGTCGCCTTTGACGACAAGGGGCGGGTACGGAACGAGGTCCATTCCGACGGAGTCCGTCACGCCGATTCGCCGAAGCGCCTCCACCTCTTGGCCCACGCGCGCGCCTATGCAGAGCGCTTTCGAGGCGTTGTGGAGAAGGTTCTTATCCTTAAGGTCCTCGAAGAAGCGCGCGAAAACCGGGATTTTGCGGTTCCAGTCGCATGTTGTCCATATTTTTCGGAGCTTAGGGTTGAGGGTCTTGTTGAGCTGGCGCTGAATGTAGGTGTCGTAGGAGGTGTAACCAGGTCGGATTCTGAGGTCTTTGGTCGTGATGGAATGGCGGGGTTGTTGTGGGGAGAGTAGGTGGAGGAAGAGGTAGAAGAAGGTGAGGGAGAGGAAGAAGGATATTAGAAAGCATCTTAGGATTAATGGTTTTTGGAGCGTTATGTTCATTCCCGCATGCATATCGAATTATCGATCATGTCATGCTATGAACAAAAACAACGGAACGTCATCATGCTTTGCCTCCAACTTTCAAGGGACGTTTCTGAAAACAAACGAATGAATATGAAAACGATAACTATCAGTCAAATAAATATCGGATATAATAGATACGCCGTTTTTTGTTACTAAAGATAAATTGTATTTGTAGATATGGTTCCTTTGGTGCATGAGGATTTGATGAGTCAAACATGATTCAACGCGACGCCCGCTTCACCTATATTTGTTCATATTGCATGCAACTCCCATCACACGGCTTAATATTTACTTTTTCTTTTTTTACTTTTTTTTTTTTATTTTCCAAATGTTGTGTCCTTTTGCAAATTCGCTAAAACATTAATATTGATGTTTTTTCCATGGTCTTTAGTAACAAACATAAAACTAATTGATATGAAAAGTATAAATTTATTAAACATTATATTATTTAAATAAAATAAAATATAATATTTTTTAGTATTACGTACCAATTTTTAAAATCTGTAATACTCTATAAATATATTAACTAATACTAGATAAAATAAGAAATTACTTTACCTTTTTATTTTTATAAATACTATAATAATAATAATAATAATATATCAGGAAAATCTGCTTAAAGAGACTATTTTCACAATGTGTGAAAGTAGAATATCTAACTATTACATCAACCCATCAAGTTATAAATAATGACAAAATATAATATAAATCATATTCAACAAAATTACTCTTGCGACAGAACTTCATACAATTTTTTTTACAGCTATTTCATACAATTATTTTAGATTAACTTTAATATACTTAAAAGTTTTATATATTAGTTCAAATTATAAAAACCTATATAAATAACAACAAAAAATCATGTACACTACGCACATTATTTTCCTGATAAATTCTCTTTTAATTTAACTCGTGTATTCTGCATGCTATTTCAATTTTTCGTTTTTTAGCTATGAAGGGTGCTTGAATTTTCAACACAACAGGGATTTGAGAGGAAACTATTTAATGAGTTTCCAAATTTTTAACGTAATGAACTCGTGCTTATTTTATCTGGTAGACTTCATCAAGTCGTGACTTGTGAATACATTGCTTAATAAATAATATTTAATATATTAATTTAAAACTATGATAATATTATAATTAATAATTAGAATATGATATTGTTCTAGAAAAATAATCATTTTACATAAATATTATATGTATAAAAAATAATATCGTATCCTTTTTAGCATTAAGAAATAAGAAAGGAAATCTTTAAAAAAGAATATGGTCTCATAGATCAGTCTATTTGGCCCACAACCTGTAAAAGAATGAACTGGACTGAAAAATTAATAACTCACAATTAAATTAACTAACTTAATCCAATCTCACCTAAAAAATATGTTAGGTCGTTATAAACAATCAAAAATGTGAGAATGCAAATAAAACGCCTTGGGATATGAATAAAAGGGTGGAGAGAATGGGAACCAAGAGTGAGCCCAGCATTTCTAGCCCAACATTCACCATTTTAATAAAAATTTTGATGAGTGAATAGAATAAGGTAGGATGATAGAATTGTCTTATCTTATTGGCTCATCAAACAATAAATTAAGAGCGGGTATGACAGTTTATCCTGTACTATTTTCGTTATCATGTTCATCAATCAAGCCCTCAATGGAATTTATCAGTCCGAGCAATGAATGAGAAAAATTGCAAGACTTAATCATACTCTAAGCTGAACACCAAAAATTGCAATTCAGCTGCCAACTCTGTCAAAGATCAATTTCTATCTAACCATTAAGTACCATCTGGACCTTCTGGCAACTGTATTAACCATGTGAAACTGACTGCCTAGGGAGACTACTGGAATAAAAACAAATGCATATTTTCACTGAATATACATATTTTACACTCACTTCTGGTGGGAAGAAAGATTGGGAGGGGAATTGAGCACCAAAATAACAAGGCTTTCATTCAATTGTTTTATCAAGTAACTAACAGCAACCATGGTCAACTAATTCGTCGTTGCTTCAATACATCCCCTTGAAAACAGGATTTGTGCGGCAAATGCTTGCTCCATATTCCTCGTATTCTGCCTTTGTATGACAAGCCTGTACATTGGAACAGGAATTGTAAAGCTAAGCTTGTTTTGCATTGAGACGTATCAGAATGATTAAAGAAACAATAACAAATTAAGACGCTC